ATTTGGGGTAGGTGAGAAAAAGGTCTTGGTATAAAGGGTGTGGTCCCAAGCCCCTGAAACTCTGGCACAGCTCTGGTGTTTTGTGGGACTGAGTCTCTCCTGACAGGGGACCTGCATATGGTCAGCTGGGTGGCACCATCCTGTTGTGGAAAATGCTGATACAGCACATTATTGTGGCCTTCTGGAAAGTACTCCTAAGAGAATATATTCCTTTAATCTTTAAATGATTTTAGCAAGTGGAACTATATATATTATTTGGATTTCCCAAGCAAGTTTTATATCATGAAGCTACAGCTGTTCTGAAGCAGATGTCCAGCTGGCTTAGTAATAAGCAATCAATCACTTTTGAAGCACCTCCCATATGCCAAAGCTGCACTATGCTGTCACGTTTAATCTTCATGCCGACCCCGTGACTTGGAAACACAGACACATGCTCAAGGCACATGAGGGATTTGCTCTCACAAGAGCAAGTAGCAAAGCCAGGAAGCAAAGTCAGGCCTAACACAGAGGTTCCATCCCACTGTTCTGACGTTTCAGCTCTCCCGTGGTATAAACGACTAGACTCACTCTGGTTTATAAACTGTCTCTGGCAAGTTTAGTCAAAGTGGCTCAGTTTGCCAGAGCCTGGTCACTTCTGGTGGAATTCAGACAACTGAGTTTCTGAACTTGAAGTATGGAGAAGCATTCACGGATTACACCCCCTCCAAAAAAGTTCAGCTTTGTCTAATCTATCTGTTTCTTGACAAGAAAGAGTAGTAAATTATATTTTTCTTAAAAACTTAATCTAGAATACGGTTCAGCACAAAGAACCAATGTGTTAGCAGAGAGCATATCAGTGCAGAACATGACATGGATGCCTTTCAGTACTAGCCTTGCAGAAGACAAGAAGCTGTCCATGAGTCTGGAATCAAACAGCACTTCAGGACGATCTCTAAGTCAGATCTGAATGTTGTATCTGGAGCACTGAGATCTAAATATTTTAGCATGTCACCATGGCAGGTGTGGCTCAGGTGCTGGAGCATCATCCTGTTAACTGAAGGATTGTCAGTTTGACCCCCATTCAGGGTATATACCTACCTAGCTATAGGTTTGATCCCTGGTTAGGACCATATTGGAGGGAACCAAGCCATGTGTATCTCTTATACTGATTTCTCTCTTTCTCTCTCTCTCCTTCTCTCCACCCCCTTCCTCTCTCTCTAGAAGCAGTGAAAAAAAAGTCCTCAGGTGAGAATAAATAAATAAATAAACAAATAAATATTTTAGCACATTTGGAGCATTTATATGAAAAGGGCCCAACACACCCTCAGAACTTATAAACTCAATAAATAATAGTGGTGGAAACTAATAATAGTTTGAAGGTTATGAAGCAAATTCAAAAATTGTGTTCAGTTCAGAGTCCTTGGACAGACCAAATATTAGCAAGTCTCATGAGTCTCCTCAAACTTGTTTCAGAGAATTGATTGTCAGATAAATAAAATCATCCTGATGCTACCAACTCTGAATATTTTCATAAATAGTATAGGGAGGGCTTTAGAGAAATTTTATAGATTTATTCTTTGGCTACCACAAATAGAAAAATAGAATGAAAGGAGGTATTCAGCTTCTAAATTTCAAGAAGGATATTTTGTCTTTCTGAACTCACTCTAAGACATTACACCTTGAATGTTAATTTCTTACTGAACTTGAATCTCTTACCCAAGTAATATATTCACAGAGATCTAGAGAAGACAGTGTTCTGCACACTTTTGTGTTGTAGGAGATGTGCTTTCATGCTATATCTCTTCTCCCTTCTCCATTCTTCCAAGTGCCCTAAAATGCAGAGAGCCAGTGAGAAGTAACTTCATCCCTCTCACCATTCTTGGGAGGGGGAGGCAGGGATAACCTATGGAAGTGATTTGTGATAGTGAATCTCCCACAGTGTGCTACTCAGAAACGTGTCTTGCATCTTAGGAACTCATGAAGACAGAGCCTGAATATACTGCTTGTGTGAACACAGCTTATGCTGGGTTACTGTCCACAAAAGTAAAGAGAAATAATAAGGAGGAAAGGGAGGGGAAAGAGGAGAGATGGATGAAGAAGGAAGAGAATCAAACATGGGAGGAGAAGGAGGAAGAAAAGAAAGAGGAAGAGAAAGAGGTAGGGAGAGGAGGAACCACTTTTATTAAACTTGAAACCAGCCACTGAGCTGGAGGCATTATGTAAAATCTCTCTTATGTTTATCCACATAAGAACTCTAAGTAACAGATACTATTATTATCATTGCTTTACAAAGAAAGAAACTGACAATTAGATTCTAAGTTACTACTGAGGAGCAGCAGTGGAATTTGATTCTAGATTTGTCTCTCTGGAGTTCCAAATGACTACCAAAAACTTGGGGAAAAAAGTTAAAATGAAGTGTTTTCCTTCTTTGTAGCTGATTTCCTCCACACACCCTCCAAATAGCTGGGTAGGAAAGAGTGAGATATCTATATTAGTGAGAACTTGACTTAACATCCACCTGTGCATAGGTGTCTAGGAGAATCTTATTAATTACAAGCTAAACCAATGGATAATATATTAACAGCATTTTAAAAACATTTTAAAATTAGTATTTGTAATTGTTCTAATTACAAAAATTATTATAGTATATTTTTATCAACAATCTTTGAAGATAATTTTACATACTTATTTCAAGTAAAATTAAATTACATGTACACTTAGACACATTTTTCAGACTATCATATTCTATTTTCTTGCCACAATGCTTTTATAATCCATCTCTGCAGCTAGATCTGAATATACACAATGACAGGCTTTCAATTAATTTTTATTCAGTTAGTTTTATGGTAGCAAATAACCCCTCAGTTACTTGTCTTTGATAGAGCAAGATAACATTTTATCATAAAAATGAAGAAAAAAATCAGTTGGTTCACAATTTTAGTTAAATCAACATTGTAATCTGTTAAAACAGTGTTCTGGGGTACTTATATTTTCATAACTCAATTCAAAGTTTGTCCAAACAACATGTCTACAAAGCCCATTGCCCAAACATTAACTATGTATCAGATAATCTGCCATTATATTAACAGGTGAGCCTTACTTGCTCTGGCAGTAGTTCAACATTTCTAGAAGGTTTGGTGGCTAAATAGTTATTTACCCTGATAAGTGCTCTTGCTATATTTAAGTGGCTGAACCACCATAAGGAAATAATTTTAATATTTAAAGAGCTTACTCTTCTGTTGACAAATTTTCATTGATCCTTCTAAATTTACCCCTTAAGTCTGAAATTTTCTCACTCTTTATGGTGACAGTCTTCTACCAATATCTCAAGGAAAATTTTATTCTCCATTCCACATCAACAGATATAATCAACTAAATTTAGTCTTTGTTCCAGGAAGTGTATATGCTTTATTATTAATCATATACTTTACTTTAGCCACCACCTTGCATTCTATCAAAGTCTGTGGCTATTAAAGCTATAAGATTGACTATGAAGAAAGTGAAATATAGCTCTTACAAAAGCAAGGATGCAATGAAAATCTGTCTTTAATAATAATCAATGCGGGGCTCACTCACTCTAAGCTCCAACACTGGGACTGCAGTTAATATAGGGGGGAAACTAAACTGACTGGCATCAGGTTAAGAGCTAGAGGAACGGCTTTCTCCCAGACAGAAGTGCTGGCAGAGGTCATTGGCAGAGGGCTCCAAAAAGAGGGTTTTTTTGGAGCCCTTCTTCCCCAGAGCCAGCGGGGGAGAGCTATATTTGAGTCTTCATCAACCTATTACTGATTGCCCCATCCCAATGATTCCCTGAGAACCTGCCCCACCCAACTTGAAGCCCAAGCTGTTTCCAGTGTCTTTTGCATTGAATGGCTGATCTTGAACCATGCTTCAGACTTTGCTAAATCTCTCAAACAAGTAGCATCTGACTCAGTGTTCCCCATACCTCTCCCTAAGTGGCCTCAGACTTGCCACTATTAGAAGCCAGAACTGGTTTACAGCTTGGCCTCTTCTGGGCACCTCCAAGCCAAACACAATTAGAAGACATCTACAAATTGCTGTGTAGCTCACGTGATGTTGTTCTTGGCAGAACACAGGCAGCAGCTGACCTCTGCTTGCACCTCCCAGAGGTCCAAGAGCCAGCACACCCAATGGACAATGTCAGACTACACAGATCAGAATACACATATCTCCTGTTCACTGAACCCATGCCTGATAAAAAAAGTTGGCACCCCTGACTTGTTCATGATCTTGGAGAGAAAGTTTCAACCTTTCACTACTGAGTACGATGTTGGGTGTGGGCTGGTCATAATGGTCCTTATTCTGTTGAGGTATGTTCCTTCTATATGCACTTTGTTGAGAGTTTTTAATCATGAAAAAATGTTGAATTTTTATCCAATGCTTTTTTGTGTATATTGAGGTGATGATATAACTTTTATCTTTCATTCTATTAATGATGTATTATATTTTTAGATTGTGTTCGTTCAACCACCATCGCATCCCAGGGATAACGCCCATGTTGCACAGTCTGTGATTCTTTTCATGTGCTGTCGAGTTTGGTTTGCTGGTATTTTGTTAAACATTTTTTGCATTTGTATTCATCGGAGATATTGACCTGTAGTTTTCCTTTCTTGTGGTATCCGTATCTGACTTCATTATCAGAGTAATGCTGACCTCATAAAATGAGTTTGGAAGTGTTCCCTCTGATTCAACTTTTGTAAGATTTTGATATAGATTGGCATTGATTCTTTAAATGTTTGGTAGTATTTGTCTGTGAAAGCACTTAGTCCTGGACTCTTCTTTCAGGGGAGGTTTTTGATTACTAATTTAATCTCCTTACTCATTGTTGGTCTTTTCTGATTTTTCACGTCTCATGATTTAGTCTTCGTAGATTGTCTATATCTAGGAATTTATACATTTCTTCTAAGCTGTACGATTTGTTGGCATATGATTGTTCATAGTAGTCTCTTATGATGCTCTGTGTTTCTGTGTTATTTGTAGTAATGTCTCCTCTTTAAAAACTAAAGATGTATCATCCCTCAGTAATTAACATCATCTTTGCGCAGGGCCAGTGCTAATCCTCTCTGCGCCATTCCAATTTTAGTACGTGCTGCCCAGGCAAGCACAGAAGAAGTTACTGCTTAATGGGTATGGAGTTTGAGTTTGGCTGGATAAAGACTTCTACAGGTGAATGATGGTAACAGTTGCACAGCAATAGGAATGTAACTAATATCACTGACTCTACATTCAACAATGGTTAAAATAATAAATTCTATGTTACACATATATTACCAGAATAAAAAAATGAGGAGAAAAACTTTTGGAGGTAAGAAAGGAGAAATCTTAACCAGGAAACTAGTGAATCTTTAGGAAAGAAAAGGGCAAGGAGAATTTAAAAGATGCATTTGGGGTCATAGGAGATAGAGTTCTGCACAAGGGGCCAAGAACCTGTTCAAAGTTTCATAGACAAGGAGGGACCATTAATAAAGCTTTGAGGACAGAAGTAACATGATATGAATTTTCTTTAAGATCAATAGGGCATCATGGTATAGAATGTACTAGAATGTTTAGATGCTAAATGTAGGGAAATCATTAAGAAGCTGTTTCAATAGTTCAGCCAAGAGGCAACAAGAGTTGGGCTAGGAGAGTGCCAGCCAGTATGGAGAGATGGGAATAAGGGGACATTTGTTAGTGTTTGAGTTTTTTATTTTTATTATATTACCAATAGTTGTCCCTACTGGTAATATGATAAAAAGCAATTGCAGTTTGGAAAAGTGGGACCTCAGAATATGTAGTAGCTAATCATATTTATCCTGTACTGGCACAACATTAAATAATAATGATAATAGTACTGGATTATTGAAGAATAGCTGAGAAGGCTGGGATGACTGTTGAATGAAAGAAAATGTGGTGCCATCTGCTGGCAATAGTAGTAAAAGCTTCCTTAGCGTTTCAAATCTAGATCATTAAATCTGCAGATTGGCACAAAACCATAGCAATCATCTACAAAACACATTTTTGTAAAAGAGTAAGAAAGATGGAAAAACACATCTAAAAATTATTTTAATGCATTTATGTAAGTGATCATTTGATAGTTTCCCCCCTCATTTGCTTCAATTATATATGAAATGCACAGATATAAATACAACACATTGAACCACTTGAAACATATTTCCCCAAGTCTTTCCAGGTCACCTGAAGTGGTAGAATAGGTACATGAAATAGAAGCCTGGTGTTTTGTGTATCTGAAACAGTCCTGATTATATACTTTCCTCCTGCCTCTATTATTCTTAAAAGTGCTTCATATACTCTAATATATTTCCATTTAAGTTACATTTCTCAGACTATTTGCTGTAGACAAAAAAATCTCCAAAAATTATTTGTTAAATCAAATGTCCTGATTTGGAGTGTAAAAATGCATTTTGGTAACATGAGCCTGAATTCTGCCTGTCATTTAAACCATAATATTTGCAGAATCCTTAAAGTTGCAGAGAACTCTGTCTTACTGCTATTGCAAACAGAAGAAGGAAGTGAAACAGAACAATTAAAATGTACTTCCTAAGACCTATTTCAAAGTGTTCAATCTCCAAGCACAATATAACAAAAATCATTAATTACTGAAGAAGACACTATCTTATAGTAAGTGCACATTAAATATTCGACAAATCTTTGCTGAATTCTTACCACATAAAGCACCAATCTAGGTACGTGAGCATCTGAAGAAAGGCCATTCTGGGCAGAGCTGCCCAAGCGCACAGTGTGGGAGGTACCAAAGTGGAAGATACAGAGGGTGCACTTCAAAATCATTTCATCTTTAGTGGAGAAACCATGTGTGCACAAAACCCTGAACTAACAGTACAAATAATATGCAATTGAATATCAAAATGCTTTTTCATACAACTCAGCTAATTAATAAGGTCTTTATTTGTTAACTTACTGAACTGATTGATTCTTTCATCTTTAAGCCAGCTCACGCTGATCACAGCTGCTGACATTCTTTGCATTAAAGGATGCTCTTATGCTCACTTCAGCAGCACATACACTAAAACTGGAATGACACAGAGAAGATTAGCAAGGCCCCTGCGCAAGGAGGACATGTAAATTCATGAAGTGTTCCATATTTCAAATAAATAAATGAATAAATAAATGAATGAACCTCCTTATGTAAGATTCCTATACACGCCCATAGTGTCAATCCTGGTGCGTAAGAAATAGTCAATGAAAAAATGTGAATAAGTAAATTCACCTTTGAGTTAGGCTACTGGACATGGGTTGTTTCTCAAGAAATCTGTAAGCTCTCTTCTGTGAGACAATGAAAGTTTCAGAGCCAACTGTTTCTCTCTAAGCCTCTTGGGAACTCTCAGGACTATACTGGTGTCCAGTTGTAACTGCCAGCCCACCACCATGGGGCCTCGTAACAACTACTGCTTCTGCCTTGTTCAGGTGGCTTCCAGCTTTTTTTTTTTTTTTAATTTAAACTGTCCTATTCTTCAGTTTTATAAGATACTACAAATGCTTCTGAAGGCATGGGAAGTATAAACATTATAAGCAATGATCTTCCACAAGATTTTTCCAAGTGAAGTAAGCTCGAGTTCATGATGGAATATTTTACAATCTGTCTTTTTACCTGTTGGGGAGATTACAAGGAATCCAGTTCACTTGAGGGTCCAGGATACCCTCCAGGAATGGGCAGATAGACCACCTTTTCAGGTTATGCCATAAATACCATATTTGGAGTCATAATAACATGTGCATCCTGTTATAAATGCAGCTCAATTAAAATATTTCTCAAATAAGCAAACAATCAAAGAGGGGCTGGCAAGATGACCCCCAAAACTGAGTGGCTGAGGAACAATTATTCCGGGTGCTATTCCCTTTCAATCTGATTTCTTTATTTTTATAATTTATTTTCTTTGTCCAACCACTTCCATTTTCCAGTCTTGATGTCATCCTTTATATTTACACACTTTTTCGTTTTTTCCTAAACATGAGTAGCTTTCCAGGCTTCTCACAAGTTCGCCATCTCCTGCACTTGTTAACTATAAACCTAGCTCTTCCTCCAAGCACGCCCTACCCTGGATTTAGGCAGATCCTTGTGCCTGAGGCTGTGGGATCAGTTTAGCACTCAAACTGTTACACTTCTCCTTTGCTGCAGCCCTTCCTGCTCCACCCCCTGCAAATGCAATTCCTGCTGCTCAGGAGGAGGGCACCTGGAGATGCAACCTCAGCTAACCAGGACGCCTCTGGGTGGGAGAGCCACCTTGAGGGCTGATGTCTGCACACAGAGGAATGCATATCGATAGGTATATATTATATGTATGTGTATCCTTGACTTTCGTGACACTTTATATCCCTTGTCCATGCCTGATCTATGAATATCTTATTTAAACCACCTTTGTTCAAACCACATATTTAAACTTAAGCCTTCATTTAACTCAAGGACTTACTAAGCATTAACATATAAGCATTAACTTTTTACAAATTGTTAGTTACAGAATAGTCTCAAAATGTACATTACAGCACAGGGAATGGGTCAGCAATATTGTGATGACGTGTGTGGGGCCAAGTGGGAACATGAAATATTGGGGGGACCACCCTGTACAGGACATGACTTTCTAACCACTGTCCTGTACATCTGAAACTAACACAGAATAACACTGAATGTAAACGGTAATTGCAAAATAAAAATAATTAATTAAAAACAAAAGCATATACACTTTTATCTGTGATTAAAATGAAGTATGAAATACGAAGTGTACAATACATACTGTTAAGTCATTTGCAACTTCGATTTGTTTTGGTGTTATGAACTAACCCCAAAATCTGTGCATTCTTAAAAGTACAGCAAGACCACTGATACTCTGAAAATAGCACCGGCCTCTGACCTGTTTATCTTCCACGCTCATCTGCAGCAGAAAAGAGCAACAAAGCTATTGAATTCACAGCAAGTCCCTTAAAGATCTGCTGCCCCTGAATGATAAACGAGCTGTTTTTTTAACTTTGTTTCACTATTAGGAAAGTAATAGTGTCCTTTCTCTAACACTTCAGTGAAGGAGGTAGGAGTCGGATTATAAAACAAAAGTTCTTGGCTACCCCGACATATATCTTCATGTATCTTAATACATATGTAATTACAGATGAAACTGACCCTGTCAGTGACCCTGTCTCTTGGAACCCCACTCTTTCACTTCAGAGAAGCCGGCACACTCAAGAAGAGGTACCTGTTCGGCTGCTGCTGTGACCACTCCCTCTGAAACACCCAGATTCTGTTTGTAAATACCAGCGCCTCTTCTTCTTGGGCCACTGGTGTTTGGGTATCATTGAGCAATAGTACTGCGAGCTCATAAACAGCTGCGATGAAGGTGTCCAAGGAGCTGGCTTTAAGACACAAAAAAACTGAAACTGCCATATGAGCCAGCAGCTGAGACGCAATCATGCTGATGGATGTCCAGACCACTGAAAAATAGAGCAAGTCCGGATACGTATAGCGGGAAGCTACAATAAGTCACACAGCTCTCAGAACTTAGTTCTTTAAAAACAAGTCACAGCATCCAATGTTAAGAAAACGTTATGGTTTTACATCACAAACACAATATAAATGAGGGCTGTGAGGAGAGGATTATTTAGGCTTCTCGCTGTGTAGAATACGGTCTTCTCCATGCACGCATGCTCCAGTCCAAATCCTATAAAAACTCCAGTCATCAGACTCATTGCCCAGGCTGCTCCAGAATGTCTTCATCTTCAGTAGTTTCAGCAGAAACCATACTACTTCCAAATAAGGTAACGTTTTACAGTACAGGTGGTCAGGACTTAGACGAGAATTTTTAGAATTCATGTTTTAGAATTCATTTTTAGAACTTTAACATACAGCAGTGTGTGCAAATAATTTGAAAGTGAATCGCTTTACAGTTTTGAAATTATTATATCATCATTTTTATTACTATGAAAATTACTTTAACATTTAGTGGCTTTGAACAGCAAGCAAGAATTATCTCACATTTCTTGTGAGCCAGGAATGCAGGGCCAGCCTAGGTAAGTGCCTCCTTCATAAGGCAGGAGTCAGACTTCGGACTACGGCAGCTGCGGTCAAAGGTCATCTGGGCCAGGAGTCGCTTCTCCGCTCCAGGCTCACTCACAGGGCCTATGGCTAGTCTCAGGTCCCCACTGACTATCGTCCAGGGATGTGAGCTTCTTGCCTCAGGCCTCACTGAAAGGCAGCTCACATCAATGCATCTGGTTTCCCTCAGAACCAGAAAGCAAGAGAATCCATTGAAGTTAGAAACCACATTCTCTTCGTTAATTTAACGTGGGAAGTGTCGTCCCATCGCTCCAGTTGTCTTCTATTCATTAAAAGCAAGTCAGCAGTTCCAGCCCTCACTCGACAAGAGGGGATGATGCCACAGCACATGAACGAGGCTGGAATCACTGGGGGCTGTATCAGAGGCTGCAGACCTTGGGGTTGATAGGGAAGTGTAAACAACGGCAGGGGAACAAGAGTAAGAACCGAAGAGAGAAATGGAGACCGGGGAGAAAATAATAGGAAAAAAGCTTATAGATTTTGATATGGAAAAAATAGGCAAATTTTGTTTCAGTTTCAAAATAAGTATAATATTTTTTATATTTACAGAACTACTGTTTATGATTATCTATTTTATTTCTAGATTTTATTTCAGATGGTGCTTTTATAGTTCAATTTGTAAATGGGCATATCTGACTTCTTTTAACCTCAGTACTATAATAAATTTCTTCTGTGGCTACCAAAGTGACAAGAGGCTGTGGCTGCCTGGCAAACACCGGTTCCCGCTACTTGCTAACAACCTGCTTTTGGTTGTCCATTCCCTGGTGGGTGGGGGATCCACATACTCCACAGTGAGATGTAATTGTTGCACAATGATTTATAAAAGGAGGCTCTTAAATAAAAGTTAAAACTGGAATGAGTTATCAAGAGATTAAAAGCATTGCTAGATGTTCAAAATATTCAATAAGAAACTCCCATTGGGTTTCCAGTCTGACATACAAAGGGCTTAGGAGTCATCTCTCCCATCTGCACAAGAAAAAAGCTGAACAACTGAAAATTAATACATTTTCTTAGATACAGCAGAGAATTGAGGTCACAGGACAAACCACTGCCCCAGCATTGGAGAGACAGGCTTACCTGTAGTGTAAATCCACTGTTGGGGCCAGTACTGGTGTCAAAAGAAAAAATTTCCAAACCTGCAGAGAATTTTTCTGAGTTTGAGCCAAAACTGACCACTGCCAAGAAGCAAGATCCCAAATGCTCTGGTGAATGACAGTTTTGCAGTTGCCATTCAGAATTAAGGAGGGGCTATAAGGAAAATTACATGAAGGTGCGAGACACCAAGGCAGGGATTGGATTACAACAGTTGACCAGATCATGTGCTCTCTTGAGGATGGCTTTCACTTCGAGGTCTCAAAAGAGGTGTTTCAAAGGTGTGTTAACCTAGATTCCCAGAAACAATGGACAGGTCTGCGTAAAAGTAAAGACTAACGTTTTACTAAAGAAGGTGTGTTACATGGGTGTGACTACTCACCTCGACCTGCCCAGGTAGGAATTTGTGAGCAGATCTTCCTGTTAGGTTACTTTCCATAGCACCCTTTTTCCTTCCACACTGGGATGTCACTGATGAATTGCTAGAGGCTCAATGTGGATCCACTTGACAGTTAAAAATTAGGGGGATTCCAGCGTCATGAAGGCACTCAAACTTTTGTGGGTTTTACCTCCAAGAAGTCCAACAGATTCTCTGGGCAAACAACTGGGAAAACAAAATAAAACAAAACAAAAGCTAATGCTTACTAAATAAGGGAGAGAAATAAACCCACTTTGAAATAATCCCTGACAATCCTTATCAAAAGCCTTCCCTCAAGGGAAACTATCTACCAATATAGCCTAACCAATGTGGAGAAGAGAAAAACCTCAACTCTAACCCTCCTGTCCTTTTGGTCTCAACTAAAGGGGAAAGAAAAAAGACTGAGAAGGATTTGTGAAGGTCACAGCCCAGGGGCACTGGCTCACTCCAAGAGAGACTTACTGAGCCGTAATTCTTTACTAGGCCAACAAGAAGAAGTGAGCTTCAGTAACACTTTGATAAGCCATCTAGAGATTG